AAGACAAAAAAAAATCCTTAAAAACAAGGAAGTATACAATTTATTATATAGGTAAGGTAATGAAAATATAGTACACTGTGCTTCTGCTAATAAATTTCATTCAAACTATTTCATTCAAAATTGGGGAAATCTTAATGTAGTTGTAGGCTGAAGGCCTTTCTGCCCACTGTTCTTCATGTCCCAGATCATTCACAGACTCGTTGAGTTACCTTAGAATGGTCATTTCTGCACACCAGTTCTTTTATTACTAATTGGATAGAAAAAGATGTTGTAATCTGACATTTTTCAATGTTTAGACCACAGCTTCCATAGAGTGATTAATTATCAATTAATTTAGAAGACATTATTTTCCTCCAACAAATTCAGTAAGAACTTCACCCTAAAGTGCCTCTCTGTGCAGCAGCATGGTTTGACATTATTTTCACTTCCCTGTGCAGTCAGGGTCTTTCTCATTACAATTGTATTGGTTTTATTGGGAGAGATACTGAGGTCATGTCAGCCATGAGAGAAAGTAAGGCAGCTGAAATGAACACCCATGGTACAGTTAACTAGAATACATAGATAAAGCCTGTATTAAGGAATGCTAATTTTTTTTTACAACTGAGAATTTTTAATTAAAAAAAGAAATTATGGACTATAAAATGTATGTAAAACATTTTCAACTAATTAAATGCAGTCAAATATAGCATAAATATGTGCACACATATGGATGAGCTATTCACTTGATGAGTTTGGAAACTAATAATTATGTAACATGAAACATTTTAACCAAAAGCTAACTTTCACTCATTTTAAAAGTAAATTTACTTTAACTGCTAACTATGTCTTAGGATCCAGTTTGCAGAACCTGACAGCAGATGGGCCTGGAATGTTAAATTTGATAAGTTCAGGGTTCACGAGGTAATCATCAGAAGAAAGTGTAAATCTCTGTCGGGTACACCAACTTACAAAGTCTTCAGAAGAAATCTATGGTGGGTTCTAAATAGGAAAATCACATAACTTGCACACCAAAGCATGGGAAGTTTAGTTTCTGCAAAATAATCTTAGTTCAAGATCAAGCATCAACTACATAGGAAAACATGTCTCATGTATGTAACCTAAAGGGAACTAGGGAAGTGAGTGTTGTGTTGTGAGCCTCTACTAGTTTTCACTTTTAAACCTCCATTTTCCTTTTCTCTTGCTCAAATTATTTACTAGAGTTGGCTCTACATAGGGGTTGAACTGGACACTTCTACGATTGGAACCATTTCTTCAGCAATCGGAATATCAAATTGTTTCACAACAATATGTTGAATTATGGTAAGAAATCCAAAAAAAAAGTCAAATGACTTTTTATATTGGGTCTTCCTAGTACTTTGCTCTTCTTTATTTTTTACCAATGTCTTAAAAGTCTAAATAAAATGGATATGAAAATATTTCTTGTTTTGAGATATGACCTAGTTTTCTTTTCAATGTCAAAAGTTTTCAGCATTCCTCTTTTTTCCCCTTCTTTTCTCTTTACTACTTGAATTTTTCTTTTGCATTATTGCTTTAGTCCTAGTGAAAGTATGTGTGCATGTGTGTATGTGTGGAGTTTGGAGAAAGAGACAGAGGTTCAGAGGAAATAGTATTTTAACATGTTCTTCATGGGTTTCTTATACAGCTGGTTTAAAAACTACTGCCCTAGATTTCCAGTGCAGTATTCTTTTTCACCCCATGGTGAATTTAGCTAAATTTAGTAAACATGCTTTTGAATCTGTTATTGATCAAGTATTTTGTTATGTGCTCTTTGTACATATATGAGTACGATGATCTTTGTCTTCAAGGAACTCACATTTAATATACTATTTTAAACCATTATGTGTTATCACATTGACAGCTCTAGACTCTAAACAATACCACTGCATGCTTTCCATCCACATAAGAAATCCACCACTGAGAAGTAATTTCAAAACAAACCTTTTGTGATCTCAGATACATTTCAAGATTTTGAACCAAGTATGTCAACAGCGCATTTTGACATGTTTTTATGGATCTCAGATGTGAAATTCTGTTGTATGCATTTATGCCTCCTAACTGCTCATCTTATCTCTATAGTTAATAAGATTTGAAAGGCTGAGATCAGGACTGTATTCCCAGTTCCCAGAGGCATCACAACTGCTTTATTTCAAATCCTAGTTTAGAAAAGTGGGTTGCAGAAATGTTCTTCAGTTTTAAAATTTCAGGGAAAATGGTAATAGAAAACTTCATAACTTCTTTTGAATGAAATTGATTTTGAAATGTAAATAACTATTTCAATGATGTGTCTGACACGGTATTGTCAAAATACCATCAAAAGGTTTATACTGCATTTCCCAATCTTGCTGTTCTTAAGAAGCCTGGATAAGCATCAGCTATTATTCATTAATCAATATAAAATTCAAGGTGTTAAAAAATTTTAATTAAGAAATAAATCAGATGGGTCCAAAGTTTAGGGCTGATACCTTTTCAAATGTGAAAACTCAGAGTTTTTAATGTATTCTTGAAGTAAAAAATAGTTTTCATCCTAAATTCTTCATTTTTACTTCTTTCATTTAATGTACTTTATTTTCAGACCCTGCATTGTGTCTTGTCATCTGACATTATGAAAAGCAAGCTGTATCTTTTTCCACAATCCTAAATACCACTACGGTCTTTGGTTCTTGTGAAATTCCAGGGAAATTTCTAACTCACCTCAGACATGACATGTACCATAAACAGGATTTGGGCCTTACTTCTTTATATAAAGAGTATGGCCCATTTGGCAATGCCAAGTTGTGGCCTTGTTGCTGCCAAAGCAATCATTCAAAGAAGCCATGAATAAGGGTATTAGAAGGAACTGCCCATATATCAGACTAAAAGAAAGTAATGAATGTCTGAAATCTCCCAGTGGGCAGAGAACCATTCTTAAATTATTCTGGCTGCCTTTGCAGACACATGGAATGCTCTTCCCTTGCTTTGCTGTCATTGGGGTCTCTAGCTTTCACCTAGAAGACCAGCTGCAGTGACATATTCAACTCACTTGAGAAAACACATCTAAAGCATTGGCTTTTCATTAAAAGTTCAATTTATCTCATTAACTTTCTCTTGAAAATTTTAGACACTTAAATAGTGCCAAGTTCAATCCTTATTTCTAGTTATTATTAAATCAAGTAATTGGTTTAATAATGACTCAATTTTCTAAGCACAAAGAGGAGGATCACTGTATACTGCAGATTGTGGATGAAACATGTAGAAGAAGGAAGATCTACTACTCCTACGGAAGTAGTGATATAATAATAGTAGTTAACATACGACTGTCCCTGTGGAGTCACTGTATTTTGTATTTTATTTGGACTCTATTATTTAATTGTTAAAACAACCTATGTGTAGGTGTTATTATTAGTCTCAGTTTAATAATTGAAGACATTGAGGCTTGGACAATTTATGGACCTTGAACAAGTTTACAGAGCTAGAAAATGAATGTATTAGAGGTAAAAGAAACACATCATATTGAAAATCCACATACATTAACCAAATTAATCTACATACAAGCCCTCAGAGAATAATTTTGTGCCCATATTTGTTACGTTCAAATCATCATCAGGTTAAATACACACCATTGGATTCTGATTTAAACCTGGGTCTGACTCCAAAGACTGTGATCTTGCCATTAACCTTATATTTAATTAGGTATATTTCTCAGTGGGAAGAGTGAGAAAATTAGGAGAAGAGGAAGGAGGAAAGAAAGCTACTTAGGAAGAACTAAAACATTTTCAGATTCACTTTACACCATGCATCAAGTACATTAACAGTGCTTCCACAACACCATAGTTATGACATCATTGAAACTCAATGATCACTTTTCATTTTCTGTCTCATCCATCCTTCTGATCTTTCATCACTAAGTACAGTAATGACAGAACATTCCAATGCCACTCTGACACTTATTTCATCTTTAAGGAAAAATCTGCAGGATTGTTCCCCCACAGAAACAAAAGGAATATTCACATAATATTTTTATTCACATAGCTTCTTATATTCTCATTTTGCCTAAAAATGAACACAAATCCTATTCACCAGAAAATCACACCAAAAAGAAAATTGTTGAGTTAGACGGTAGGACAGGTAAAGACAGAACATTATACTTCTCATTGTCTCTATTTCTAGCCAAATCTTAACTATTAGCTCTCAGTATACTGGTTTCACACTCATCTTATATAATCTTCATGGATATCTATTAAAAGCTTTGCAGTGTAAAGAAGTGATCTTTATTTACAAATATTTGAGACTGTTTTTGTAATCAGAATCATGAAATATGTTTTAACTAATGAAACTAATTTTCAACATATTTAGAAAATGAATAGCTGTATATTATTTCACATGAAAATGTGTTAAAATCCTTAAAGAGAGAAAATAGAGCCAAGAGAGAAACCCTCTTACTGGGCTTCTTTACCATTTTTACCCATTGCTATCAGTTCATTTGGTCACACTATTAGTATGCTTTCTTTTTTTTTTTCCACTTAGACATGAGGACTGTTCTTTTTTGTTTATTACTTCTCAATTTTTCCATGCATATGAAATATTTTTATTCTCTTACGGCATTATTTTTTTACAAGTCAATATATCATGAATAACTTTCCATACCAAATAATTATATGACTTTCACTTATTTCTCATAGAAGCATTTATGTTTAACAGAAGAATGAAACAAAGGAATGAAAACATCTTTTTTTATTTAATAAAAAATATCAGATGGCATAACACATGATTATTAAACAAAAAGATGTCCCCTAAGGTTGTCAGAGAAAAAAGAAAATAATATAAAATTCCACAATTCTGGAATCGCATCTTTGCTGTATGTACTTTCAGGGTTTTTTTAAATTTATTTTTTTATCATATCATGTGCATATAAATACACTTCCATGTAAAAGTGGGACTATAATATATACTATTTTCTTTCCAGACTGTTTAAATATTTGATCATATATTAACAGTGAATATACTTAAAATTAAAAATTTGAGTATATCTAGAATGCTTCATGAATTTGCATGTCATCCTTGTGCAGGGGCCATGCTAATTTACTCTGTATTGTTCCAATTTTAGTATATGTGCTGCCGAAGCGAGCACAGTATGCTTTCTTAAAACAATGATTTATTCACCTCCAGGCAACAAGCACAGTGACACATATTACATGAAAACAAAACCCCCAAGGTGCTAAAATTTAAGCCGCAAGTCTACTTTGTCAAGGACAGATGATCCACTTGGGAACGGAAAATTTGGCAGAATCAGGTTGCAATACTTTAAGGGTTGTCATATTGGTTAAGTCCTGTCTTTCTTAGAAAGGCAGTTCAACTGCATCACATTTCACAGTATTTTTTTAAATTGACTTTTAGTTCTTAGAGGCTAGTGAGGTACAAATTCCATAAGAACACTTTCAAATTTGAGGCATGTATCAGTGTCTTAAAATGAACCAATTCGTTCATGTATCGATTCATATCAGATTCTTCAAATTCACAGTCCTGTGAAAGTTATAAAACAGCCTTAGAATTAAGTGGTAATTGTAGATGCTAAATACACACTGAAAAATTTTAAATGTCAATACAATTCAGATGGGACAGATTAGCCTTAAAATGTTAACTGGTGCAATTGGATCTTCCAAGAAGCAACAGGTCAAGAAAACGTAAGTCATCTATAAAAAAATTATCCAAAACAGATTCTCTTCTTCTAAAGCTTGGGAGGTTTGTAAATGTTTGTATTCAAAACACTGTTAGTATCTTAGTAATTTTTTCCTTGCATATTCTGGGCCAAAAATAATACCTAACAGTTCCATTTATTTAGTAGCTAACACCAAACAGTTTAGTAAATATCTATGTCCTAACAAATTAGTAGGCCTTTGGGGAAAAAAATACTCATAAATTGAAAGAACAAAATAATATTTTCAGGTCATTCTTAAATAACCACAATTACTTACAAATTGGATATGTGCACCTGTTTGGCTCTGCAAGCCTTTAAATCAGATCAAGCTGTCAGGTACTCATTTCCTGTTTCACACTGATTTTCATATGGTACTTACTTTTTATAATGCGACCACAGGAAACACAGCTTAGCAAGTTATGATGTCATCAAAAGGAAGGCAGACCAATGTAATGCTGACATTTTTAATAGTTCACTTGGTGGCTGACAGATGTTGAGGATTGCTGAGTTTTCTTTGAAATTTTAGAATATTAGGCAACTCCCCCATGAGTTTGCTGCAGGTCTTGAGAAAGTGCCTTCATTGGTGCCTAGTTTGGGAAACAGGGTTGCCTGTTGATTTTGATGTCATAGATACATTGCAAATAACTAACCCTGTTTTTTTTTATAAAGCTGTTGTTTCACTACTAAACTCTCAACAGTTTCAGCTTGCCAACCTTCCTTCCTCCTGCTGTATGCGCAGAACCCTCGTGAGAAGGGAATAGGAACAGCAAGCAGCTGTTTCCAATCGTCCTTTACTGGACTGAGATGAGAGGCGGTAACGCATCAAAGCACTGCAGCACTGAAGCCTGTCTTTCCAGGATTATGCTTCTAGTGTTCTACTTTTTAACCTAATATTATTCTGCAGGATTCCAGGGAAATATATTTGATAGGGCTCTTGTCTGTAGGAACAATTGGATTACAAAATACATAAAGCCATGTTGGGTATAGCGAGGTGTCTTGCCAATGGGTTTCAGCCCCTGGCAAGTTCACTATGGATTCAGTGTGAGCAAAGAAATGACAGTAGAATGTTCTTGGGGTGAAAGGGTTATACCCAACTTTATTTCCATGGTGGCAGGTCAAATCACTAAAATCTCATTCACTCAGAGTGAGTCTGTATGCAGCAAGCCAGTCTCTGCCTCTGGGCCTCCCTGTCTGCACAGCCACAGCTTGGCGCTGCCACCACTCCAGCCTCTGCTCTCCTGCAGCCTGCCACCACGTCACCCAGAGCACTGGGCAGGGCTCTTTATGTAGAGTCAATAACAACATATTGCCACATGTGTGTAGTGAGTCAGCCAACCAGGGCCCAGTGAGAATCCTGGCCACAGGAATCTTCATTTTATCCACATGAGGTATCAGTGAAGATGCAGAATACTGAGTAAGGAGAGACTTCTGCATGGGAACTTTGTGTATTGAGCTTATTGTTCAATCAGTGCACTTCGAGATTCTCTCTCTCTCTCTTTTTTTTTTTTTGCAGTGTCCAGGCACCATTTCTTTCTGATAATGTCCAGAAACTATCTCTTTACGGTTACTGTTAAATGCACCAACCAGGATAATTTCATATCTCCTATTAAGAGGAAAAAAAAAGCATAGTACGATCTCATTTAGATGTGGAATCTTAACATAAACCAAGTTCATAGATACAGAGGACAGACTGGAGGTTGCCAGAGGTAGAGGAAACAGGGGGTGGGCTAAATTGGTGAAGGAAATCAAAAGGTACAAACTTCCACTTATAAAATAAATAAGTCTGGGGATTTAATGTGCACATGGCAGCTGTCAATAATACTGTATTGCATATTTGAAAGTTGCCTAAAAGAGCAAATCTTAAAAGTTCTCATACAAGAAAAAAAGATCTGTAACTACATATGGTGACAGATGTTAACTAGACTTACTGTGGTGATCATTTTGCAATATATAGAAATATCAAGTCATCAGGTTGAACACCTAAAACTAATAAATGTTGTATGTCAATTATATCTCAATTTAAAAAGTTATTTTAAAAGTCTAAAACAAGAGAAGCAATGCTAATAATGCTGTGTCATGAAACAATACAGAATGCCTTGCCTCTACAGCTTCTGAATATCACTTATTTAACACTAACTGCATCATCACTTACAATTTTGCATTTTATATAGTGCTGTCCATGAATATTGGTTTCCAATGACTCTTTCAAAAATTGTTATGTTCTTATTTATACTTTGTTGATGATGACAGCAAATGCAAGTCTTAACCCATAATATAAATAAGCATGAGAATAATGTTTATTTTCTGGTCAGATTGAATTGACCTTTAAATATTTGTTGACATAAGTACAGAACAACACATCTCTCGGCCATGTCTTCTTCTGGAATCAGTAGTCAATAATCGCTGGATTCATAGAAAGTGATCTTTTTCAATATTGGCTGTACTCCCACTTCCCACACTGAATCTATCAATCAGAAGGGCCTGTTAATCTTCAGAATGACAATCTGAAAAGCCCTTGGAAGATAGGTATAGCCACCCCATATATTTCCTGCCATGTGGCCTAGAGCCTGTAGAGAGGTGAGGTGATCTCTCTGGGTGCCAACAGTGAGTTGGTGGAGGGTAGGGCACAGGATAAAGGTTAGGCTGAAATACATGGCATGAAGCATGCTACACCACAAAGATATTTAGATTGGGTGCCAGGACTTTGTTTCTAGACCACTCCCTATCAGTCAATTGAATGCTCCGGTAGTAATCACAGTTTATTAAGCTTCAACTCATCTATCAAAAAAATTACATGAACTCTAAAGTCCTATTATGTATTAAAATTCTAGATACCTACTGTTTTAAGTTAATAAATGACTATGATTTGGATTAATATAATCCAAATAAGTATAATTTTGACCATACTTCACCTTTTATCTTTGATAGACATGGATTAAAGAAAAGAAATTCATCCTAGACAGTAATTAAAATACCTGTTTTTTATTAATATGTTTATATTAACCCTCTTCCCAAAATAGAGAAGAGACTTAACATGCTAATGTATTCTGAGGTGACTAGAAGATTCTTAGCCACATTACAATAGAACTAAATCTCAGTCTACGTAGGTGCGTCCTATTACTTTTTTCTCATTCTTAATAAGAGAACCACCATTCTTTTATGCCATAAAAAGTTTCAATTGATAATTTTAAATGTCCAATTCAGTTTATTTATTGGTATTTTAATCCTTTTTCAGGGGAAGTCTTCTTTCTTCCCTAAGGTCAGAAACAAAAGGAACTTAAGGAAGGCTGGGTGTTCTTCCCTCTTTACCGGCTTATCACTCCCAACTAGATAGCACCATCTGAGACTCTGCCAAGATCAAAGGGGACGTGGTGGTGGGGAGGTGATGGGGGGTTGGTTTGTTGGTTGGTCTGGGGCTCGGTGATTTATCTTAGAGTTACTGATAACTATTTTACCTCAGTCTCTAATTTACTGTTTAGTCATAATTTTGTTGGTTTAGTTTTATTGTTTTGGTAGTGTATGTTAGAAGAGGGAACCTACCACAGGTTAGTTTTATTATTTTGGTAGTGTATATTAGAAGAGGGAACCTACCTGAGCAACCCTGCATGTTCTTGCTGAGTATGCTAGAATGCAAGGCTTGAGTCAATACAGAGAAGTTTCTGTACCTAGTCACATATGCAACTAACCAGGTTAAGAAGACTACAGAGTGACTACAGAAACTTCTGTTTGGTCTAAAGGGGAGGAGACTAGTTTGTTTGTAACTTGCTACAGTGTTTGCTGCTTGCAAAAAAGAAATACTGGGTCACTGGTCGAAGCTGCCTCTCCTGTAAAGCAACTCACTATGTGTGAAGGATCCTCTGGCCTCCATGTGGTCCTGTAGGAAATGGGGCTCTGAGAACCAATGCAAAGATAATGAGTCTCTCATCTCCAGCTCAAGAAATTTCCTGCCGTTTGCCTGTTTCCCTGAAACTGGCAAGCAAATTTACTATCATGGCAGTGAGGGAAATACCCATTTTTTTACAGTTCTTCACAGTGTTTAACAACAAGAACAGGCTGCTGACAGAAGGATGGCTTTTTTGAAAAGAAAGACCTGGGCCTTGCAGACCAAATAATGGGATTTAATGAGAGATCTTGGCAATTTGCAGCAAATATATTGATTAAATTGTGTGGCCAAAGGAACCATAAATGTTTCTCCACCGTATTCCCTGTTAATGAGGAGCAATTAGGCATTTCTTAACAGTTTATTTCTTAAATAAGACTTTTACTTGGTCCTGATAAAAACCTTCCAAAAACATGTTAAGGAAAAAGGAGTACCTAATGTTAGCTATTACTCAAAAAACATTAGTTTGAAAGAGATAACTGTTTCCTAAATTATCTCCTATTAATCTTTTTATACTCCTACTCATTATCAGAATTGTTACTCTAAGAAAACC